TAATCTCGCTAGACGGATTACCCCACTAGCTAGCTAGACTTTAAAGAAATAATAATACTAATATTTTATTCAGGAAAAGTACATACATAGATGCAGATGTATACAAACAATGTTGGATTAATAGATAGAGCTAGTATATACAATACCTAAAGCCACTAATAACGCACAGCGTTTCGGGCAAAAAACAGCCGTTGGGACTGTTAGGAGTAGGAAGCAGCCTCAACACGCTCCCTGTGAAAAATTTCCCGTCAGCAATGCAATCCCATGGTCCTCCCTCTTGTATCACAACAGACGGTAATATCTTAGAGAAAACTAGCAAAAAATATATCTTAGGACGTTTAGGAACTTTTTAACATCTCTTTAGGAAAATTAACAATTTGTCCAATGGTTTTCAATAATATTTTGCATGCTAGGTGAAATATATAAAAAACAAATCTTTACCGCATATAAAAATCTAACTCGTAAACTGGGAGGAAATTCGCTTGAGGGAATGTATTGGGAACTACTTAATTAGTGCTATTATCTACTCTCTCTATGCATGGTTAGGTTAGGTGAAGGTTATGTTAATATGGTACATCATTGATAATGTGACATATGGAATTCGAAAACTATTAGAGTGTACCCGAAAATTCTGCTTACAAAAAATAAATTTGTCAAAGAAAACGTTTTCAATATACACTTGTTATATCTTAAACCAACTATTAATAATACAATAAAGTTAGAACTTTAGCACAATCTCTGTTTAGGACAAAGATTCATTTGCCAGTGTACATATTACAGGAGCCGTAATACACTTTCAGACTTATCACAAATATCTAAATATTTGTGATATTTCTGAAAGCTATTTTGTACTTTAACAAATATTTGTAAAAGCACCTGGATATAAAAATCCAGGTGCTTTCAAGAGTTGGGTGTGGTTTCTAGGGTGTGGTAATGTATTTGGTCTGAGGATGGGTTAAAAAAAATAAGGCAATTTAGGGGGATTTCATGAAACCTAAAAAAATATATATATATATACTGACTATATATATATATATCTATGCACAGACTACCCTATTCCAGTAGCTGAAGTTTATAACTTTTCAGACACTCAACCCACCAGGGGACTCGAACACTGGCCAACAAGGTGGCAGTTGCATGCTGTATCCACTACACTATACTTCAAAGCCATAAGAGGGGTAGGAATTCTGGGGTATTTAACCAACCAGAACTCCAATCCTCTCCCAGGCAATGAGATAGTGTGGGACCTCGGATGCTCTTTCATCGGTTCCTGTTATATGGGAAAACTCAGTGCCAAATGCTTAATGCCTATATATATCTATGTAATGGCCTTTTTTGTAGACTTTATGAGGACTATAAAATACGAACTACTAATAATACCTTTTTACCAAAACTTATGTGAACACATTTCTGTCCTCAAGTGTATTTTTCACAAAAAACACTTTTTTTTGTTTGTCTTGACAATTGTATCCGTGTATTGTGTTAGCCTCAATACCTTCTCTCGTGGTGCATTCCACTCACTACTTCCACGATGAATATCTACATATAACACATTAGCATGCATAGCCTTCACTTGCGTCCCTTCCTCTTGGCTCAACCTTTTACAGTCATTAATTCATTTTGTTGATATCCTTAAGTAAGTCACTCTTTTACTCGCCTAGCAATGCTTGCTGGGGTTCAAGCTAGGCTCCTAGCCCCGCCTTAAGAACGTTCTTAGATTAATGTAATAATAATCGTACGTGTGTGTGTGTATTTACATCTGCAGAATCTAGGTATATTAGCTCTTGGACCCCGCCTTTCTTACAAATTTATTTTTCCTCTATGTCTACTACATATATTTCTCTAACACGCGCGCAACACATCCCCAGGAAGCAGCCCGTAGCAGCTGTAACTCCCAGGTACCTATTTTTACTGCTAGGTGAACAGGGGCACTACTAATATTGCTTATATTTTATCACGGTAACCGATTGATGTTGTTAATTTATTATGCCCCCCATACAGAGGGGCGATAACATAAGACTGACACAAAACTGAATTATGCTAATATTTTGCGAAATTAAATCCGGGGAACGATTATCAAAATTTAAAATATATACACATGATATACAATGCGGCTTAATGTTGAGTTAAAAAGAGATGCCAATTCTGAGAACGACGCCTAGTTAAGGCGGTAAACAGATGTGATTCCCACAGTTATTTTAGCCATTTGAGGCAATCAGCGCGCCTAGCGGCAACTGCTAGCTAAAAGCGGAGGCAGGATATTCATTAATGATAGGCTGCTGCTGCTGCTGCTGCCGCCGTTCAGGGTGGTCAAGGGCTTAGGGCGCCCCAGGGCTGTTGTCGAGTGCCGAACTTAAATTGTCAATCCTCAGGTGTACGTTATGCATAGATAACAGAACTGTGTTGTATATGCATACAAGAGAATGTCTCGGTCCAAGGTTGGGTTTTCATATGCATGGGGCTTGCCCTGTCCAATTTTTCCCAGACACATTTCTTGGTAGAAGACTGTCATAGGCAGGTCGGGATCGGCCCCATTGTCCCTACTTTAAGAAGGATCAGGTCCTATTGCGACTCCTATGAAGTCTGAAACTGTAGTTCTGTTTTCCCGAGTTTTTAAAGGTTTCCACTTGTTCATATTAACCCAGCACACAACTACACCTTTGTAACAACGTAATAGCATCAAACACTACTTTGGTTTCATATCTGATATCCATGATAACTTTACTCCAGCAGCATCCTTATATAAGATGGCATGGCTACCCAAGCTCGGTTACAAAGGCACTACGGGCTCCCCATAGCCCGTGTTACTTGGAACTTTTTGTTCCAGGTAGCGAATTTTTAACAACAACAACAACCAAGCTCGGTTACTACGGGCTCACCATAGCCCGTGCTACTAGGAACATTTTGTTCCAAGTAGCGAATCTTAAACAACAACAACCAAGCTCAGCTGATACAGCAGGCTGCCCGTATTTATGCCATACTTCACAATCTCACGAGAGGTGGTGCTCTATTTTAATCTTCTGATGCAAGTCGTCAATGAAGTCATGTTTGCAAGCTACGTAATAATGATTGGTGGCGGTGACTGAGAGGTAATTATAATGAGAAAGCACAAAGTCATTACAACTATATAGCATTTGGAAGATGAGGATAAGTATTTAGGATAGGACGGAGGGAAGGAATGGTGCCCAATGGCACCTTTCCTGAATGGATGGTCAGGCATTGAACACCAACCTGCAAGAATCGACACTGTCGCTGTATCATCCAGTCCAAGTGGTTGGGCAGTGGTGCCTCTACACCACATTATGAACATTGAAATAAATTTTAAATTAAAGCAAAAGGGAAGGGGGGGGGCGGCATGGACCAGGAGGCTAGGTGAGGAATAGGGGGGAGGGGGGGTGAGATAAGGAATGGGGAGCTAGGCGAACACTGGGGAGTGGGGGCTAGGTGCGGAGTGGGGGCTAGGTGCGGACTACGGGCTAGGTGCGGACTAACGGGCTAGGTTTAAAGCATAACAAGCTAGCTTCTTCCAAACACGGGAGACATATCCCGTCACGCAGGGTGCAGTCGCACCTCCACAGATCTCCAGTAGCATCTATTGATACTGGTAATGGCTCAAAAGGGCCACCACTTACGGGCTATTCATGCCCGTGCCACCTTTTGGGTGGCTTAATCTTCATCAATCATCTTCCAGAAGACAATTTATGGCAAATAACCCCAAACCCGTTCGTCTGATAATTCATACTGTACTCTCAAGGACACGTAACCCAGTTGCCAGGCAGGGGAGATTTTAGGGACTTTTCCTTGCACCTGATGCCTCTGTTCACCTAGCAGTATATAGTTTAGCAAGGGAGTATTTGACTATTCTAGGAAAATAATTGTTGTTTTATACACAAGAAGGTCCATCGGGTTGTGAAAGTACATGTTGGTGATTAAGTGAACATTCTTGCAAAGCCTCTAGCACGCATAGTTTCAAGGTAAACCTCGGTTAGCCAATCAACTTCCTATCCACCGTAACACGACTTTTCTTCATTATAAAAAATACAACATGATGGCAAACTATACAATAATAATATATTAAAATTATAATATTATTATTAAGCGTACAGTGTTGGGAGAGACCGGGTGCATCTACGTGTTAAATAAGAAGCTAGCGAGGCTTTAAGTGTGAACTAACACAATGCTCGGATATTTCCGTACCTGAAACGAACTTGGGAGGTTTCCATTTACTCCAATACATTTACATCTTTCACCTCTTTGCCTTAAAATGTCAATGAAAGCATTAATTCCAGTACAGAATTATGAACTAGACATAAAACACTGCAAATACAAAGCAGTGAAAACTGCTTACTGTACTCAACGTCCTATTTCTGGGAGTGAGGCGCGCACCAATATCAGTCAGGTCAAGGTAGCACTAGGAAGGGCAACAATAACTCGTTCCTCTCCGGCATCCAGGCTCAACTCTCATCTATTTAATCAATCTTAATGTTTCAGGAGGCCAAACTACTACGGAATTTGGTCAATCTGTATGTTTTTTGGCCACTGGTTGAGCAATTTATCTGCAACTTTATTATGTTTATATTTTAAACTAACGATTTATAATACAATAAAGTTATAACTTGATAATCATCTCTGTATAAGACAAGACTATTACTATGCAGACTATTACTGGAACCGTAATATACTTTCATGCCATCATAAATATCCAGGTGTTTTTGAGGGGAGGGGGTTTCTCGTGGTAATGGATTTGTTCTAAAGATGGGCTCCATAATGATAAAAGTTTAACATGTATAAACTTTCGTCATTTCCCGCCAAAAAATCGGCACTAATGAAGCTGTCCGTGAAACGTCAGACGAACCTCATGGAAACTTAACAATCTAGTGCAAACATTCCTAAGAAATACTCGTTCCCTAGGTAATAGTCTAACGCGTTCAAACTCAGTAATCATGCGAGTACCAGACTTGAATCGTCTTAGTAAAAAAACAAGTGTATTGCAGTCATACCTTGCAGGTGCCACATTTTCCGTAGAGTTATTTTGTGTTTGAACGAAGGGACTATTGCTCTCCTTCCCGCCGGAAGATCCCGTCACGATGAGATTGTTGAGAAGAGAACTCATGTTGGTGCGAGCGCAGTTACCCAGGGAGAAGCTGGAGCCGTACGTCCTACCTCGACTGCTGCTACAAGCTAACTGAAGGCCAAATAATAGTGTGGGATGCTTCCCCTTGAGGCACCTGCGGATGCCTACAGTTGCCAGCTTTAATTATACTCAACATCTTTACACCTTCCTTTACTACTTCCTACAGCCGAAAGACCCTTTTCCTTTCTACAATAGCAGATGGAAGGACGAGTAAACTAAATTAACTAAAATCTGCGATAATAGTAGAAACAGAGCAACGTGGGAGAGAATTATATGTTCCTATGGAGGACACACCCTCGGAATGCTGGCCTGTGATTGGCTGGTACCCGTCCCCAGTCCTGCAACATGGGGTTTGCCTGTTCAGGATCACGTAGCTAAAAATTTCTTTTATCCGTTTTCCAGGTAAAGGTATCCATGTGACGCATCTGATTTCAAAACTTGTTTTGGGTCAGCCGCAAGAGGCTTACAGTACCCGGTAAAATTGTGCCGACAACGTCAGATATATACAAGGAAATATTCTTCACTGGCAACATCCCAGCTTACCGAAAACTTCCAACAAATTTGGAGAAAGTCTTAAATCATGATGTGCAAACGCTTCTATTTTTTGTAAGTTAATTCCAATATATTGGAAATCCTTGTATATATATATGAGATATCGTAATATTGAGGTAAACCTTCATAAAATATTGACGTAGCGACTGTCGTAGCCTGTTCATATGTAGTGTCACGTATGACAACTAACGTGTTATAGTATAACTAAATAAAATTAAATTGATACCTCCTAGACCATTATCAAGTTGATTATGACTTAATAATGGTCCAGGACGGAGCGAAACGTCATCCTCTCTTAATCTTCAGGTGTGTGATTTAGTCTTCAAATCCTAGCCACGTTATTGTGACTCATCGTCTGCATATTTGTATACATATATAATAGATTTATATATATTCTGAGTGTATACACGGAGTTTACTATTTAATTCAGGACTATATCGAAGAGACGTACAGGGGCTGGGTGGTCAGTCCGCTATTGTAGCGGCCCGACTGTGAGGTCATGGGGTACATTTATTTAATTCTTTATATGCAAGATGTTACAATGGGTTATTAAGGTGGCAACACATGCTGGTGGGCGAGCAACACATTCTTGCTAAGCCACCAACACACACAACATTTCTTAATAATGTCTAGAATCTGTTCGACCTTGTTGCACCCGCAAGATAACGTAAGCTTTTAAGGGTTGATAGATGCTAATCTTCTTGTTTGAGGAGCTGTTCACTTGAGACAATTAAGCAAGTCCCAGCTGTGTCTGGGTACAAGTGACAGGATGAACAACCCAGCGGGTTTTCTTCCTATTGGGGGGTGTTGTACATGCTGCTATGGCGGTGTGTCCACTCACAGGATGAATGGCGCTGCCCAATAAACTCACCCCTAGGGGCAAAATTTAAATGCCAAAAATTCATGTTCCTTTCACACTGTAATTCATCATATATACACAAGTATCGTAGATTATCCTTATCATTTCGGCACACGTTTCCACTCTGATAGTGATATATTGATTTGTACATCATCTGATTATAAACGCAAACGTACACATTATATTATAATTTGTCAAGTATGCCTACTTGACATCTATTTGCCGACTCATTTTATTTCGAAGTTAATGCTTATTAGGCATATTAGAGTATTTGTAGGAATTTCAAGCATGAAGTAATATATTTTGTTCTGTGTGACGGGAGCGTCATGGGATAGAATTGAACCCCCGACGATAGACCTTACGATTCAAATTGCATGTGAGGATAGTGTCACGTCTCGAGGCATAGGGTTACACGCCTAACCTACCATGTTATGATTGGTTACACAATTACTCAATGAGGAGTATCCCAGAAGAAAAACAAACACTCTAGCTTGATGCATGTGCTTGAGAAGCAACTTATTTTGACAAGTGTTAAGTGAGAAAGATGTCTCAAGTTCCCCGGGCAGTGACGGAGCTAAAAGTGAACCTTGCGTGCTCTTCCTTCCCTTCAAGGTGCTGTATAGTCATACTGGCTTAGCTCTATCTCCTCATAATTACATTTTTTTTTATATCATCTTCTCCCAAGTTAACTCTTGCGATAACAAGAAGTTAGCTGAGGTGTTGGAAGCTGTAGAAGCTTGGTATTGGTATTGAGAGGTACTGGGAGCTACGGCTGTACCTCTCTTCTATCATATGTACAAAGACCTTTAAGAGGAGCCGTCGATTCCCTCGACCATGGAAGAAAAAGAGTGGTACAGTGAACGACCTGTACATTGGCTGTACATAGCCAATATTGCTGTGACCAACCCTGCTCATATCTTGCTAAAGTCGACCACATCGCAGCTGCTGCCTTCAGCTCTCTACTCTACCAAGTGTATGACATGTTTGCAGTCACTAACATCTCTGCTGATTGTTGTACCTCCCTTACCACATGGCCCTGTATAAAGTACATGCAAGCAGCATGTACTTTATAGTGTAGCACAAGTACATACAAGTATAAAACACAGACTGTGGGTATGCTTTTCACTTGTATGTACTTGTGTACGTTAGAGTAACAGCTTGTGTGCTTGGATTGGTCTGGCTCCCGGTAGAGGAGTCTCAAGACTATAGGTTGTAAACAACGTCCCTAGGGAGCAGACGACTAGTTAAAAAAAATCCCCAGATTTTCCCTAGGCCTAGGGAATGGAGATGCGAGTTTTCATTACACAATACTCCTTCGGGAGTTAGATTTAGACACTGATGTTATGTGTATGCCATTTTCATATGATATTGTCTCAGCGGTGCCAAGGTACAAGAGTCAATACAATATATATGTTTGTATGGACACTGATTTTCCACAGACTTCTAGTGCTGTAAATTTAACACGTGTGTCCTATCAGTTGTTGTGATTGCATTAGAGACTACACGTGTTTTATGGGATTCGAACCTTGTTAAGCTGACTGCTGTCTAGTCATGTTCATGAAGAACATCAAATGACCCCAGTTGAGCCTGTGCTTTCTTCGGTGGAGCTCCTAACCAATAAGCTTTTCTTAACACTTGAGTAAAGTCGCTCTTCATTCGTTTAAGTAGCAGTGAAAATAATTATAGTAGACCAGGCCACACACTAGAAGGTGAAGGGGACGACGACGTTTCGGTCCGTCCTGGACCATTCTCAAGTCGATTAAAGTAAGTTCAACTTACTTTAGCCACGTTACTGTGACTCATCGCCTGCATAATTATAGTAACTTCAAACTTTTCTATTTACTCCTTGAATGATCCTCTGTGTAATTACTTACACTTCATGAGCGCGGACATCTGTAGGCGCGCCTCACATTGGAGGGACGCGAACAAGGGGACACAGGTGGAAGCTGAGTACCCAAATGAGCCACAGAGACATTAGAAAGAACTTTTTCAGTGTCAGAGTAGTTAGTAAATGGAATGCACTAGGGAGTGATGTGGTGGAGGCTGACTCCATACACAGTTTCAAATGTAGATATGATAGAGCCCAGTAGGCTCAGGAACCTGTACACCAGTTGATTGACAGTTGAGAGGCGGGACCAAAGAGCCAAAGCTCAACCCCCGCAAGCACAATTAGGTGAGTACATTCTTGATGATGGACGTGTTATCAACCGTGTCCAACTTCCGGAGTGACTGAGGGCCACACCCAGTCACAAACGAACGGAATAAATCATTGTGTCTATTACCAGCCTCCTCTCAGGGATGAGGATAGCATAAAGAGGCACAAGACTTCTTGCCTAAGGTTGGCCTCTGCTCCTCCACCCTGGTGATCTCTTATAAAGATCTTATATATGGTTACATACAGTGAAGCCAGCATGGATCTTTTAGGTAGATTGAGGAAAATAATCAATCAGGTTCAACAATGCAGTGCAGATTATTCTTATCACTGACACACGTTATCAGAGTGCAGCATTAACACTATCACTACTGTCAGTCAAATCTACGTTCTCAATGACGTCAAACCTTCCGGTCGTAAACCCGGGCGGCGGAGGGGCCAATAAAAAAAAAAAGTGGATTTGTACGCCAGTCAGGTTTCTGTTAGGGAACTGGTGGGTGAGAGTGGAGCCAGTTTGTGGTCTAGTACGCACAACCCAACCTGACCTGATACAAAGAACGTCGCATTTCGCACGTATGAATTACCTAAAGTGAAAACCTGTCGTACTAAAAAAAATGGAAGCGGCTGGCGAAAGTGACGTACTGTCCCGTTTTCCATTTTGGGTCCTCTGGTGGGTTAGGATAGGGACACTTTAAATTGATTGTTTTCTTGACGTTGGCAAACCTTATAAGGACGGGCAGGTGACCATCTGGCTGTGACGCATTTACACAAACTGGTAAACAATGAATCAACCAATAACAATACTGTAACGAGATTCCCATCAGCAGATCTCTGCTCGGGTTCTTGCAGTTCAACAGGATTTGTCGAGCACAAACCCGATAGTCATGAGTGACATGACCTCGCTAAGCTCCACCATCCACAGTGTTCTCACAATGTTCGGTAATACGTTTATTGTTTGTGATGTGTGTCTATGTATGTATTAACACGATGTACTGAACGGGGTGAGAATAGCTTGAGCTACCTCATTCCTTTGTGTGTATTTTACCTCAAACTTATTTCAATTTCAATCCACAGTGTAAAGTTGTACAGCGGTCACCCCGCACCAACACATTCAGTTATCTGAAATTTCAAAGGCTCGAAAGGCGGGGCTTTGGAGTTGCTACCAGTCACTGTCATTATTATAAGCCGGTAAAGATTAAGCCACCCAAGAGGTGGCACGGGCATGAATAGCCCGTAAGTGGTGGCCCTTTTGAGCCATTACCAGTAACAGTATCAAGAGCTGATACTGGAGATCTGTGGAGGTGCGAATTATAAGCCTCACATGACCCTTTAGTGTACTGTGCGTGTGTGCGTGTGTAAGCGCGCGAGAGACCGCAGCACCACGCCACGGAGGCTCGGGTTCTGCCAGTGGTCCGTGTCTGTGACACGGGTGCACGTGACCAGGGATAATGTCTGGTTGTGCAAGCTCACCCGGGGTCTCCCTTCAATACTCCAGCA